CAGCGGGTAAGTGCGTCTGCGCCACCCTCGCCGCCGCCAGCGGGTGCAGCCCCCACGCGCACGTACTTTCCGCTGGAGGACTTTGACAACACCGACTACGAGACACGCAGCCCGAGCGAGTGGGTGGCGCTCGGCGGCGCGGAGGGTACGCCGGCCTACTCGCCGTACTTCGACAAGCTCACCAACGAGGTGGAGTGGCGCCCGTGCCGTGTGGTCGCCTACGACGACGACGCGAACTCGTACCAGATCGTCTGGGAGCACAACGGGCACCGCAAGTGGGCGAAGCGGCTTAACATCCGCTTTGCCGTTGAAGACGAGGCGCAGTGGCGCGAGCGTGTGCAGCAGGCAGAGGCGTATCGCCGCGATACGGAGGCGGCGCTGCGCGGGCGCATGTACCTGCAGTCCCTCGACGCCACCCACATCGCCGCGATGGATGAGACGCAGATGGACCGCATCATCGGCCTCGTCGCCCGACGCTTCCCGCTGACGTCGCTGCACCTCATCGAGCAGTGCACACACGAGCTGGAGGAGCTGTACTATTACAGCCTCAAGCGGGCCCAGCACTGGCGCGAGATGCGCACGCAACAGGAGCAGTGGCGGGCGGAGTTCCTCGGCCTGCCGCCGCCGCCGCCGCAGTTGCTGCTGTCGTCGTCGCTGCCAGCGTCCGGCAGCGATGTACGGCTGCACGGCACAATAGACACACCATCGCCGAATTTCCACACCGCACGGGAGTTCATTGAGGAGAACTTGTTCCAGACGCACGTGCTTCTGCAGAACACCGTCAACTCGATCCACATACAGTGGAACGAGTACCGCGGGCAACTGTTGTGCGTGGCGCAGCTGGATCGCCACGAGACACCGCTGGAGCTGAAGAACTTCGAGGAATTGCAGGCACACCGTGGATTCACTGTTGGGGAGAAGCTGCGCAACGAGTGGAGTATCAACGTGCGCTGCACGATACAAAACAACCTTGACATGCACTTCAAGTTCTACGAGGACAGCATGGAGCGGTACGCGCCCAGTCGCATGCGCCGCTTTGTGAATCTCGTCAACGTCATGATGTCCTCGGAGCTGCGCGAACTGCTGCTCACGTCGCTGCAAGAGTTCGCTGCGTTTATCCACCGCTATCGCGTGGCACCGCGCGTCGATGACACGCAGATGGAGGAGCTGCAGGAGGACATTGAGGAGGCAGCGTATTGGGAGAAGCGGAGCCGCGAGTGGAGCGAGAAGCAACGCGCAGCAGAGGAAGAGGCGGAGCGGCAGCGTCTTGCTGCTAGTGGTGGCGGTGGTGGTGGCAGCAGGCCCACACAGGGTGGCGCTAAACAGCTGGACGAAGCGAAGCGGGACAAGAAGAAGGAAACCAAGAGAGATCCCAACAACAACAATGAAGACGACAACGACAATGATAAAGAAGAGGAAGAAGTGCCATTCGTATGGCGTCTCGGGACGTTCCGCAACAGGCTGCCGTACACGAAACGTGTGGTGGAGATGACGATGAAGCCGAATGGGTTGCAGCCGCTGTTCGTGCTGCAGCTTGTCGAGAGCGGCGGCCGTGTTGCCTTCGCGCCGTCGCTGGATGAAGTTACGGCGAAGGTGACGGCGGTGTTTGCCAACTGCTTCGACCACGCGGACCGGATACACGGCATGGGCGACCAGCTGTTCCCGCTGCTGCAGCTGCCGACGCTGACGCTGTGTCCCCTCGACGAGGCAGAGCCGGCCGTCTGCGAGGCGCGGCGCATGGTGGAGAAGGCGCTCGCTGACAATGTTGAGGCGCCGCTGCAGCTGCTGCAGATGTACCAGACCTTCGAGTACGTGCTGCAGCTTGACGAGCAGGCGCTGGTGGACGAGGTCAAGGCGTGCGAACTCTCCCTCCATGAGTTTGACTGGACGTTTGAGCGCCTCGCGCGCGACAAGAACCGCATCGTGCGGCGAACGCCCAACCATGTAAAGTACGAGATGTTCTTCATCGACTGCAAGGAGATAAAGACGGCGCTGCTCGCCAAGATGGCGAGCGTTCAAAACGCGCTGATGGAGGCCCTCTCGGAGCGACTGGAGAACAATTGCGCGGCGATTATCAGCGAGTACAACGTGATAGGTGAGCGTATTGTGGTGGAGCCGCGCTCACCGGAGGCTCTGCAGGAACTACGCGACTTCCTGGACGCCATTCCAGGGCGGCAGGAGGAAATCAATGCCATTTTTGACACCATCACGGAGGGCTTCGACTTGCTCTTCAAGTACAACCACGACTTCTCCCCGGAGGTGTGCAACGACTACCGCACCGCCTACGAGTGGCCGCGGCGACTGCACCAGGAGCTCGAGGACGGCAACTTCCGCAGCAGGGAGTACCGCAATGTGCTCATGCAGAAGCTGCGCGACAACTGCGAGACGCTCACGAGCGACATTGTGCAATTGGCCAACGCTGTCGATGACTTTACTCACTTTGGTGATGAGTCACGCGCAGATGAGAACTACGAGCAAGCCAAGGCGCTGGAGCAGCGCATCAAGGACCACCAGGCACAGATACAGCTGTACAATAGCCACGAGCTTCTGTTTGGCTTGCAACAGTCTAAGTGGCCCCAACTGAAGGAGATCAAGGTGCAGCTCGAGCCGTACTACATCCTGTGGGAAGTTGTAAGCCTCTTCAACAATGAGAGTGAACGTTGGCTCAATACTCGCCTCTCTGCTCTTGACCCGGTGAATGTCGATCGGCAGCTCGCCGATTGGGCCAAAAAGGTGGCGATTGTGTCCAAGAAGATCAAGGAGGCAGAGCCAGTAGAGGTGGTGAAGAGCGTGCGCGAGAGCATAGCCGCGTTCAAGCCATACATCCCACTGCTCTATGCGCTACGCAGCAACTTGCAGGGAAGCCACTGGAAGGCCATTTACCAGGCCTGCGGTGTGCCCAAGGAAAAGCAGAGCCACGGCACCGGTGGCGTCGACTCCAACGAGTGGCGTCCATTTAACGACTTCATCCAACTTGGTATGCTGGAGTTCCTGCCGCAAATCGAGAGCATCGCGACAGTGGCGCAGAAGTCCTACGAACTGGAGAGCGAACTCATGGCGATGGAGGCGGAGTGGAAAAAGCTGCTCTTCGACATGGAGCCGTACCAGGACACGCACAAGCTTAAGGCAAACGATATCATGCAGGTGACGCTGGACGAGCACATCCTCAAGACACAGTCGATGCTCGGCAAGCCAATTGTGCGGCAGGCGCCGGCGCTGCAGGCACGCGTGACGCAGTGGGAGAGGCTGCTCGACAAGATCCAGTGCACCGTCGACGAGTGGTTCAAGTGCCAGAGCACATGGGCCTATCTTGAGCCTATCTTCTCCTCCGCTGACATATCCCGAAGTTTGCCCAAGGAAAAGCACCTCTTTCTTGTCATTGATGAATCGTGGCATAAAATCATGGAGCAGACCCGCACGACGCCGCAGATTTTGACCCGCTGCCAGGACGAGACGCTGCTCAGGACACTTACGGAAAATAACAACAACCTCGACATTATCCTCAAGAAACTGCAGCAGTTCCTCGAGACCAAGCGTATGGCATTCCCACGCTTTTACTTCATCTCCAATGAAGAGCTGCTTCAAATTCTGTCGGACAGCAAGGACCCATACCTTGTGCAGCCGTACCTCAGCAAGTGCTTTGAGGGCATCAAGCGCATTCAGTTCGGCGACGCGCACAACATTCTCGCGATGGAGTCATCAGAGGGCGAGGTGGTGCAGTTCGTGCGCACCATCAACCCTGGCGACCACCAGAATCTCGTTGAGCTCTGGTTGCAGGCGCTCGAAAACGTCATGAAGGAGACGATCCTCGACCAGCTACGGCAGGCCACCGGCGACTACGCGACGCGCAAAAAACGCACAGAGTTTATCCGTGCGTGGCCTGGGCAAGTCGTCATCGCCATCTGCTCATTGTACTGGACGATGGAGGCGACGGAGGCGATGAGCAAGGAGGGCACAGTGGGGCTCACGACGTACCATGAGAAGTGCGTGGCGCAGCTTGACGATCTCATCGTGCTGGTGCGCGACCGAAATCTCGCTGCGGTGGAGCGCTGCACGCTGGAGGCTCTGGTGGTGGTGGAGGTGCACGGCAAGGACATCATCGGACAGCTCTCCGAGAAGGGCGTTGACTCACCCAAGAACTTTGACTGGCTCGCGCAGCTGCGGTATTACTGGGAGGAGGACCAACTGCAGGTGCACCAGATCAACGCATCGCTGCGGTATGGCTACGAGTACTTGGGCAACACCGGCCGTCTTGTCATCACGCCGCTGACGGACCGCTGCTACCGCACGCTCATCGGCGCACTGCACCTTAACTACGGCGGTGCGCCGGAGG